TCTCTCGCTGCTTTAAAGGGGATCTTTTTTTATCCTTTACGGGGGTTATGGGCTCATATCCCATGATTAGATAACCAACCAAATTCAAAATTATAAAATCATTACAAACACAAATATCAAAATGTCCAGCACAATATTCCTCATCTTTTTAACCATTGTCCCACCTTATTTAATTCAAACACATGATCTATGTATAATTGATAAACACTGAAATAATATCAGCGAATAGGTGAAATAATTATTAAATTTTTAGCGAGTATGTAAAATTACTAGTTATTGTCAGGGATGATATATAATAATTAATGAGTGTCTTGAATATGCATAATACCTGTACAATTAGGAATTCTGCATAATCACTGATTATACAAATTCACTGTAACATAAATAATGCTTTTCTTTTCTTTGAGACTGTGAAACTAAACAGTTTACTTCGTTAAAATTTCAGGAGAAGTTGCATTTTCTGCAAAAGTATCGGATACTTTACAAAATTTGGGAGACCATCAAGACATTCTGTTCAAAACGGTTGATGTTGATACACACAATGCATTCCACGGAGACTTTTTTTACTGTCCCTGTTGCAGGTTATTATGCAGTCTTTGCCACTATACTGACCTATCCTGGAGTTAGGGTTGAATTTCAAATTATTCATAAAGCTAACTGGTTGTGTAAAGGATATTCTAAGGGAGTAAGTGGAGGACCCGATGTATTTGGATCTGGTTCGACCTCAGCGATAGTCTATTCAAACGTGGGTGATAAGATATGGACCAAAGTCAATTCGGATGCCCATACTGGCACTGGTGATATGGTTTTCAAAGATTATTCTTCTTTCATGGGATTTCGTTTGTAGAAACATAAAATATAAAACAATTCTCTAATTCTGTCATTTCTTGTTCTAGCATGGCAGTTGATCAACGATAGCTTCTAGAGTGATAGAATTGAAAAAAAATCGTCGACACAAATAACAAACGAATGACAATGAGAGTGGAAGATACACAATACATCATTTGAATCATGGGAATACGTTGGTAAAACGGCAATCCAACACGCAAAACATTTTCATTATAAACATTTAAACTAGTTAAAGTTCTCTTTACGGTTGTTTATTTGTTATTTGATCGAAATGGATGTATTTTTATTTTACTAACTATTCATAAAGAGAAAGAGGTTTTTAGAAATACGATAAGTAACGATAATAGTTACACTGATCTATTGACCTTCTATGAGTGAAATAAGATTTGGAATAAATATAAATGAGACTAGTACCAAACTAAAAAATGCATCGAAACACCTCTGCAGCTTTACCATTTCAAATATGAATTTTAATACTACAGACATTTCTGGATACATGTTTCATATAAAAAGAACAAAAAAGCATTAGTAAACCCTTTGAATTAAAAGTATAAAAGATCTTCCAACAACATCTTAGAAATATCAATATTTATATCGATGAATTTCGACTTACACATTTGCTTAGGCCTACAAACATCTTGGATTTTAACAGTCGATGACCCATATCATTTTTCTTTAATTTGTTGATCATACATAAAGGGCCATGAGCACACATTATCCTTTGTTGATTAAACGCGAAGGGCATTCGTGCTTTTACTCATTAGAAAAAAAAACATAAAATTCCAAATATTTGTTTATTTATCATGTTTGTCTTCCCTTATTCGAACTTCATCTTGTCTCTTAACTGACTAAATAATTTTGGCAAACATGTGTAAAATTTTATGTGTTTAAGTCCTAGAAGATGTACTAGACTTTAGATTAACTCATTATTTTTTATTTTGCAGTGCGACAGATCGACTTTATCTGCAAATTGCTTAACAAACAATTTTTTCTCCTTTGTCATCTAAAAATTCCATTTAAGACTATCAATATATTGAAACATATGTTTTAAACTAGCTTTGAACAAGCTGTCAGTAACTGTGAGTACTCTCAGATCTGTACTTACAGTCTTTTTGTTATGGTGATGTTTAAGTACCCTACCACGTCCACTCTGTGTTTTTATGCCCCACCTACGATAGTAGAGGGTCATCATGTTTTCTGGTCTTTGCGTTCGTTCGTCTGTTCATCTGTTCGTCCGTTCGTACGTTTGTCCGTTCGTCCGTTCATCCGTTCGTCCGTTAGTTCGTTCGTCTGTCTTGATTCAGGTTAAAGTTTTTGGTCAAGTTAGTTTTTGATGAAGTTGAAGTCCAACCAACTTGAAACCTAGTACACTTCTTCCTTATTACATGATTTTTCTAATTTTAATGCCAAATTAGAGTTTTTACCCCAATTTCACGGTCCACTGAACATAGAAAATTATAGTGCCAGTGGGGCATTCGTGTACTATGGACACATTCTTGTTGTTACTTGGTTTTGTGCTTTTTATCGATCTGATGAATTAAACCCTTTTCAGCTGATTTTTATATTTTGTTCATATGTTGTACTGTTACACCACTGTCAAAGGTTAGGGGAGGGTTTGGCGCCCGCTAACATGTTTAACCCCGCCACATTATGTATGTGCCTGTCTCGAGTCAGAAGCCTGTAATTCGGTGGTTGTCGTTTGTTGCTGTATAACATATTTGTATTTCGTTCAATATTTTGTACATAAATCAGGTCGTTAGGTTTCTCGTTTGCATTTGTCTTTTAGTGGCCTTTTATAGCTGACTATGCAGTATTGGGCTTAGTTTAGTAAAGTTATGGAAAGATGTGTATATAAGCATATTTACAACTTCTTACTTGAAAATAATATTTTGACGGACAACCAGTCAGGATTTACACCTGGTGACTCGGCTATCAATCAATTATTATATTTGACAAACGAATTTGGGAGGGCTTCAGACGAGGGTAAGGAAATTCGGGTTATATTTTGTTATATAAGTAAAGCTTTTGATAGAGTTTGGCATAAGGGGTTGATTCGTAAATTAGAAGCAATTGGTATAGCAGGTCAGTTGCTTCACTGGGTCAAAGACTACTTAAGAGGCAGGACGTAACGAGTCTTTATTAACAATAAAACGTCAGGATGGCGAGACATTAATGCCGGTGTTCCTCAGGGATCAATCCTTGGTCATCTCTTCCTTTTAATATTTATTAATGATATTGTAGCTGAAATTCAGTCAGAAATAAAACATTTTCAGATGACACAAGTCTGTATCTTATAGTGGACAATCCAGTAAATGATGCATTAAAGTTAAATGACGATTTAAAGAAAATTCACTACTGGTCTGAGAAGTGGTTGGTTAATTTTAATGCAAATAAAACTGAGAGCATGACCATATCCCGAAAACTTAAAAAACCAATTCATCCACAGCTTTTCATGAATAACTTCCCTTTAAACTCTGTAAATGAACATAAGCATTTTGGTGTGATACTGTCAAACGACGGTAATTGGCTCAAGCATATCGATATGGTAGTTAAAAAAGCTTATTCCCGCTTAGAAAATTTAAATTAATTTTAAACAGAAAAACTTTAGAACAACTTTTTTTTTCTTATATAAGGCCGGTTCTTAAATATGCTGATGTAGTTTGGGATACATCTACATTGAGTTTAATTCATAAAATAGAAAGCGGCCAAATAGAGGCTGCAAGGATTGTGACTACAGGATCACGGTTAACATCTATTTATTTACTTTATAAGGAAACGGGATGGGAACAACTAAAGGATAGACGAGAGGCCCATAGACTTACATGTTTGTACAAAATGTCAAACAATATTACTCCATCTTATCTTAATAATAATTTATCTGAACGGTTCCGTAATATACATGAATATAATACGCGTAATGCGAATGATTTTCAACCTATTACAGCTAGAACAACATTATACTCTAACTATTTTCTCTCATCAACAGTAAATTCCTGGAACTCGCAGACTATTGAACTACAAAATAGTCCATCCCTTCTCGCCTTCAAAAATAATTTTAAAAGTAACCGTGAAACTAAGCCGGTATTTTATTATTGTGGTTCCAGATCTGGTCAAATATATCATGCGAGAATAAGAATGAAATGAAGTAGACTCAACAAACACCTCTATGACAGAAACTTGATACAATCCCCGAAGTGTGTTTGTGGAGACCCTGAAACAACGGAACACTATTTATTAAAATGCAAAATATTCAATGTACCCCGCCAAAGACACATTCACAACCTACAGATTCCAATCAAAATTTCCACTAATGTCTTACTTTTTGGCTCCAATAGACTCACAGTAGAACAAAATATACTGATATTCAAAGCTGTGCAAAACTTTATTATAAGTAGCAATCGATTCACATACACAATCAAATAATTCTTATTAATCACTCCTCCCCTATAAACAAAATATTGTTTCATTCTTTAATAACACTCTCATTATTCTAAAAACACCTTTCACCCCCTTCCTTTGCTATATATTTTTTCTTAAGAATTTTCCTTTTGTTATTGTAATCATTGACTGTATTTTGTTACATATTTATTCGTTGGCTATTCAGCATTTATTCATAGCTTGTAATTTTATTTTTGAATTTAGGGAGACGGATTTATATAAGAGCACTGCTTTTGTTTCCTAATCCCAATTATTGAATCTTTTGTATATTTCGTAATTATGTCTTTACCCTTGTAGCTATATATATAACGATTTTTTTTAATAAAATATATTTACAGTATTGGGTTTACTCATTTTATAGGCCGTACGGTGACTACATGTAAATCTGTGGTTAATTTCTGGGTCATTTGGTCTCTTGTGGATAATGAAAAGTATGTTGTCGTCACAACGGTTTGATGTTGATGTCATGTAATTCATAAACAGAATATATAAATATGTGTGTGCGAGTAATATCTTCAAAGAACATGAATATTCTTTATCGAACTTTTGCATTGCGGGAAGAAAAGTTCCATAGATGAATCTGTTCTTGTGGTAAAAGTGACAGAATTCAATTTTTAACATAAATGCTTAAAGATTGCTTACGCTTTATTAAGATGAAGTAATCAAAAGATAGCGAGTGATAAAAAATGTACATATTTATATCTCTATCTAGCGGTAACACAGCTCTTTTCACACTCCCCCTTTGTAAGAAAGTTGTTAGCATTTCCACGACAGCCACCATAAACAAACTGTGTACATGAATGTGTCTTGTGATCATAAGAAAAAAGGTGGGAAATACGCATGACAAGGTCCTGTTACAGTTGGTAACAAACAATCTGAAAGGAAAAAACATTTTTTCATATTTTTTTCTCAAGATCCAGCCTAAAGTAACATACAGTAAAGAGAAAATATTCAAATGAGTCAATAACACATAATAACACAAAAAAGACTAAAAAACATAATAAAAACCAAACAAAACAAATCCACCATGTCTTTTTGGTTTATTGTTTTAGCATAAACACCCCTTATAGAGAGTTGCGGCAATAGAGTTAATCAATATGCGGAAAAAAAACCACTCCTTCTAAATAAGGCATCGGATTTTAATATTCAAATTCCGAAGTAATGATGATTCGCATTTACACATCTATGATAGCCAAACGAATTCCCCTCTTTAGTATGAACTCAGCTGTCTGAATAGGCAAAACTCCAGGCGTCGTTATTTTTTTTTACCAAAATCGATCATTGAAAAAGCGAGTATGACCTTAACCTTGCAAACGGATCTCTTAAAGAATTGTTAGAATTATTCTACGTGTAGAGACAATAACAATATACCTTACCTAATTATTGGATTAAACATCATTATTCCGACAGAACGTTATTGCGAATTTATACCTTCTGCATATCCAAGTGAAAGTCAAAACTCTCAGCAAAGATTTCATGATGAATGAGAGAAGTCAATGAGAAATTTTAGATAAAGATGTATATCCGAAAAAAATACCATTATTGTGAGGGTGTCCAGTTGTTGTTGTTTCTGATGTTACAATGGGCACAAAAGTCAACAGAGCCATACAGCAAATACAAACGATGGTTGGCAATGTTTTCATCTTTCACCTACAAATAATTTATATATAATAGACAAGGAAATGTCGTTCATTTGGCTTATGTTCATGTGTATTCGAATTTTGAACAAATCTATACTGTTAATTAATAAATAAACAATAACATTATTGATTCTTAAATTTTGTTTGACTATGTTTGCCGGAAACAACAATTACAAATTAAAGAGAGACTTTAGATAGCAAAAATACATTCTTACCAATTGACAAAAGTTTCTACTTTGTTTTATCTTCATGTAGTCAACACCTTCAAATATCAGAAAATTGACGTATTGACCTTCAATTTGTATTACTTAAAGGACATTTCATGTTACAGTTGATACCAAAGATTTTATTTAAATCAATTCCAAATCGCAAATGTTCGGAAAAAGGAATATGTCCTTATGACGATATAAATAGCATTTTCACATTTATAATGGGGGAATTACAAATTCTTACATGGTATGAATATTATCTCACTAGTTTGGATTAAGCAGTAGAACATAGTGACTTGTGTACGATTTTTAATACAGCTATTACACGCATCTTATCTTGTCACACTTGGAGATAAATATCCTTGATAACTGCCAACCAGGTTATTCCCTATACATTTGTGTACATGTTCAGTTATAGCAAATGATGATTGAAAACAAAACTTTTATGACAACATTTTATGATTTTTATATGCAATTTGAATTCCTTTTGTATTAATTTATTGTTGTTTCCCATGTTGTTTCTTTTATCATAGTTTTATATTTTGCAATCACGTTGCGTAAAATTATTTGTTTTTTCGTACATGTTGGACGAAGTCTTATTGTTTTAATTTGTGTATTTCTTGCGATATTTGTTTAGACTTCTTAAGTTCAATATGTACAGATTTTATTATAAAACTAATATAACTTTCGATAATTTAAAAAAGATTATGTGTTGCCTTTTTTACTTGAGCGAATTGCAAAAATACGCAACCAAGTACTGACTAATGGACTTTTAATTAAATACATGCATTAAGCCAAATTTTTAACCTACACAGCACTTGTAATAACAGCTTTCATTAGCTCTGCAGGTTGTATATATAGTCAACCACATATGTTCAGCTACACAAAAACACAGTTGTACCCTGTGTTAGTGACATGAACTCCAAGATATACAGCTGAAATTGAACTGCCTGGAATTTGTTTCTAATCAATTTTTCAATAGTAATTACTTGCTTCAAGTCAGTTATATGACAGATAATGACAAATGACAACAATCTATTGTTTCAATGGAAGATGTTTGAAGAGATTTTCCTAAAACTAGCCTGTTAACATGGGCAATCATTATTCTACATACACCCTCGAGTTAAATTTATTTACCGCGCCTCATAATGATGTAATCATAGATGTAATACATCAAGGATATAATCAAATTTTAAGTTTAATCAGTTCCAATAAACTCATCATAGATACCAGGATTAAACTTTGTGTTTAAGCCAGACTCGCGTTTCGTCTACAAAAGCCTCATCAGTGACGCTCGAATCCAAAAAAGTTAAAAAGGTCAAATAAAGTACGAAGTTGAAGAGCATTGAGGACCAAAATTTCTAAAAGTTTTGCCAAATACAGCTAAGGTAATCTATTCCCGAGGTAGAAAAACCTTAGTATTTCAAAAATTCAGAGGTTTTGTAAACAGTTAATTTATAAATATGACCATATCAATGATAATTCATTCTGTGCTGACTACTGGAATGGTGATACCCTCGGGGATTTAAAACTCCACCAGCAGTGGCATCGACCCAGTGGTTGTAAATAAACTCATCATGGATACCAGGATTAAATTTTGTGTTTACGCCAGACCCGCGTTTCGTCTACAAAAGTCTCATCAGTGACGCTCGAATCCAAAAAAGTTAAAAAGGTCAAATAAAGTACGAAGTTGAAAAAACAGAGTTAATATATATAATAATGATCCCATTTGAGTTTCTTGTGGTTAAGACTGGATTTATAACTTTTGCAATAGTACATAATCAACCTCGTTTAGATAATTACCTCTTTAAGATTCATCAATTGTATTAATCATATATTTGACTTATATTGCTATAAAAAGAAGAAGTAATATTACAGGCTGCCAAAACCTGTAAATCAAAGGAGGACGAAGTAATGTCGAGAAACGTTTCAATTTTGCAACAGTTATTTCATGAAGATGCATGTCAGACACTCCTAGCATTTTTGATTGTTTCCAAGGGTAGCTTCAATATTGGCTAAGTGTTACAAGAAACTTAATTTTCGTTAAGGCTTTTGGTTAAATGATAACTTATAGGTATCGAAACTACTTTGGTACTGACATGCATGTTCATTAAGGAAGTAAATACAGAAAAGCGTTTTGGAGCATGACATTTATAAAGTGTTTCCTACAGCACTAGGTCTATACCGCTGCTGATGGACTATCAGTCCCCGAGGCCGTCATCAGATCAGTTGTCAGTACTGCAGTGCTAGCATGATATATAACAAACCTTTCTAATTTTGTCCGTTAACAAATTTAGAAATTATCAAAAAAAAACTTAGGATTCAACTATAATTTTTATGTTTGTTTTGGTCATATAGCCCTTCAACTGTTTAGGTTCTAATAGATTCTCATCTTTCAAATATTTGCCTTTGATGAAGGTAAATCCAGAAAAGCGCTTCGGACTTTTGAAATTTATAAAGTATTTTTCATGTCGTCATTGCATATGCCATTTTCGTTGTTACCACAAGTTTAATTTAAAGAGCATATAATTGTAAAACAATATTGATATTCAACACAATTCATGTCTTAAAGCACACATACAGTAGACAGTGACATAACTAAATATACTAGCGCAAATTATATTCTAAAAATATTTTATATACTAAAAACATGTTGATCTATTTTTAGTGTCACAACTGACACGGATCACAGTTTCTTATGCTTTATCAACAGAGGCTTTTTTCATCGGTAAGTTAATAAAGCATACATCTGGATCTGAAAAGTAAGGTAAAACAAAGAACTGTCTTATTTTTTTTTATTCCAGTACGGTATAAGCTCATTAAGTTCGTTAAGATAATAGACAAACAATTAAAGCAGTGTTTATAAAATATAACATAGATTTTACAATAATCTTAGCACCTAAATTCGAAGGAAAAAATATTTTATGTCGTAAAATTTGCCTGATTTGTTCAACTTACCCAGGGACTTCTTTCGCATTATACGGTAAAATATCTTTCTCTTTTAACAAATTGACATATTGACTTGAAGACTCGTCATTAGAATTGGATTAATTGGTATTATATTGTGTATTACTCATAATGTTCTGTAACAAGTAACAGGAGATGAAATTGTGACAAAGACAGATTTAGGATCATATAATGAGAAAAGTGGTGTCCGTCAATGAGATACCAATTTGTTGATCATTTGATCTGAAAGTAATCAAATTCTTCCCAGCTGGATTTGAAAAGAACAAATAAAAAGGAAGAGGAAGACAGAAGCTTTTGAAGCTAAATTGACACTATGTTTACAAAGGACATAATTAGATTAATCATTCGATGCAACATTTTTATATAATATTAATTCCAAACGTCGGTATTAAGCAAACATGTCTGAGAGTTTCTGTCGTAGTCAAACTTTACCGCTGAGACATTTATTTTTTCAATACTTCAACTAAATTGAAAGCTTGTTATTAACCATATGGTCTGTCAGCACCATGCATATCGCCGATCTTCTATTCATAAGACATATTTACCCTGCCCTAATGTATTCTGCGGTTGATCCGTAGTTGTCCCTTTTTGACTTTATTGCCAGTTTAGTCATCTTTAAATGATAGTTAAGATTGTATAGATCTGTCAGTTTGGTTTCGACTTGAACATTCATTTGGTATCTTTCACCTCTCTTGTATATTACATTGGATACGTTCGACTAGTTCTGCATCCAAAGCAGGATATGCTTACCTTGGCACACACACCTGGTTACACTCCAGTTGGGATGCGTGCAATTCTGATTATTTTATGAAGAGATAGAATAGTTATGCGTTTCAATTTATATCCGCATATCCGTTCACAATTTAATACAAAACAACCCCTCCTGAAGGTATTGTTTCACTTTTCGTTATAGAGGCATCTGATACTGGTATCATCCAGATTTTTTAAAGATTTTTTAGTTCATCAACATTCACTTTCCAATGCTCAATATATTATTGTTTATTTTTTTTTATTTTAAAAATATTCAACAAATACCAAAAAGAAGAAGAAGAAATTATCCACACATCTTCAGTTGGGTGTTCTTTTGTCGGTTGTTCCCCTAAAGTATGAGTGTTTAAATGGTTGTATTGGCAACACTATCAGATATTATCTTCATTTTTTTCTGTGAACTGTACGATCGTCTCATCCTTCCAGAGCACCTTAGATGACCTCAAGTTTTCGGTTGGTTAGTGTTATTAAATCTTTAGCTTTCTGTGTTGTGTTTTGTGGACTTTTTTGTCTGTGATCGTCTTTCGTTTTTTGCATGGTGATGTCTGTTTCTTTTTGACTTGTGAGTTTGACTATGCCCTTGTTTTATTCCGTTTTTTATTTTATAGTCCTTTCTAGTACTTAAGTACAGTATAACCAAATAGATAAAGATATAGCTGAAGGATGGAACAAAATTCATATTACTCATAAGGCTGCTACTGCAAACTGATTAAAATCTCAATTAGGGCAATCTATTACAAATTTGTAATTACAATGTTGCGTGAAAGTGATTGCTAATGTGTCTCGTCACAAAGTAATCAGTATTTCCGACATTAAAAAAAGAAAGACTTTCGAGTTCACAGTATAAGCGTTAGATATGTTTTGTTATTTTATACTAAGTTCAATCTCCATGAAAGTTTCTGCTGCTATATAAAATGCAAATATTATAATTGATTTGATTAATTAGTTATATCGTAAGAAAATATTGTAAGCGATGAAATAAGAGGGCCATCAAAATCAAGACTTTGTTATAATGCTCCAAAG